ACTAATTAAAGCAACAATTAGGTTTCATGGCATGTGTCACGTATGTTGCCTACAAAATAGAATAAAAAAATTACAACCAATCTAGGAGAAAACAAAAAGAGAATGATCACATCTGAGAAAAAAATATTAAAATACAAAAATTACGAGCCTGTTTGATTTGCATCTCAGAAAATAGTATCTAAAAACTATTTTCAGTGAAAGATTTTGAAAATTGGTTTTAGTGTTGTTTTTGTTGCATAACTTGTTTGAATTCCAAGAATAGTTGTGCAGAACAAAAAACATAAAATCTGTTTGGGCAATAAGACAAAAAATAATGAAAACAGAGTGTTGTTTGAATTGAATGTTTCACCGACAAATATTTCAATATGTTAAACATGATAAAAACTAACATAAAACATATTATAGTGAAAATAATAATAATAATAATATAAGCATCCATGCTCTACTCTTGCAGTTATATTACAAGTTATAACATAATACAGACCATTGTTCGTCCATAAAAGTTCCACATTATATTACAATGAGAGAAGTGATCACTTCTCCACCGTGTTGATCACAAGTGAAAGTAGTAAAAACAATACGTCAAAACACAAAATGACATTACATACACAAATGAGCTAACCCTTACGATAGACAACAAGGTCCAGGCGGTGTTGGTATTCATCAACCCAAATAAATGCTTTCCTATGGTCTCAACCAAATGGACGCCTGTAAAAAGAACTGCATATTCCTCACTATACGAGCTTTGAAAACCCTCATGTGGCCACCACCACATGTGCATAAAGGTCCTCTAGCATTATCCAATTTATCAAAAAAAAATAATATACAAATACCATTAACATGTATTCCAATCAACAAACTACATAAATGAAACACAACCATGTAGTTTATGTCATCACACATAAAATATAATATCCAGGATAAGTAGTGTTTATATTAGACAGGTGATAACAAATGAAGTTGTAGATGAACATCATACAAATAATATTACATAGCCTTATTATACTAGTAATAACACTTAATATTTTTAATATTACAAAATGTCAATTTACTAATAATAACACTTAAACAACATAAAATTTCAACCACCATGTGAAACAACAGCCCACATATTCGCGGATATTGTATCCCTCAAGTGCGATATAGCATTAAGTTATGTTGATGACATGTCCAATTCAGTGAATCATTGATGGTTGGGACTCTATCAATTATATCATGGAACGTCTTCAAATAGAAATCGTTGAAAGTAAATGGCACCTGTTGAATGCAAACGAACAAATTATAAATTGCACAACAAGCTGTTACAGTGGTTGGTTGGCGCATAGGTTTGTATTTTGGCATTCTATTCAAAATAGGGAATCTTGCTTTCAACACGCAAAAATATCTCTCAATAAAATTTCTCAAAGATGAATGTCAATAGTTGAATAGCTCTCTAGGTCCACGTGGTGCACATCTATTACCACTACGCTCAAGAATGTGACATCTCTCGCCACGATATGGTGAAAGAAATTCAGGCATGTTTGTGTAGCCTGCATCTACCACGTAGTACATCCCTATTCCAAAACACGTTGTCAACATTAGTTACTTAACATCATTGCTTTGATTATAGGAATGAAATCAATATACACACCAACCTTCTAGCGGCATAGGAAAGTTGACTTCACCCTTTGTTATAGCATCCATAAAAACACGCAAATAATGTGCACTACCTTCCCAACCAGGCATGACAAATACAAACCTCATGTTAAAAGAACAAGCTGTCATCACATTTTGGGTAATTGTTTTTCGACCATGGTATACTTCATGCTTAGAAGCAGAGTGTCACGCCCCAAATTTCATAAAAGCGTGACTAAAATAAATACTTTGTTCCCGATATGTTGTAAAAACGTCTAGAAAAGTATCTCTTTAGTTTAAATACATTTTTTTAAAAAAAAAATTTCAGCAAAGTTTCTTTTAAAAATTGAGCTTCCAACCAACTAGTAAGAGCATCCCACTGAGAGTATAACATAATTTAAACTAACAAAACATCCACAACATGCCTTCATCAAAAATATAATCCAACTAAATCCAAGGTGGCAATTAGAGGCCCGCAAAATTCTCACAAATCCGGATACATCCAATACCAATATATACCACAACTTAATACACAAAGTCATAACTTTCCATTATAATATCTAAAATAATAATCCCTCTATGGGATGATCTAGTGTACTCCACAAATAGCTCAAGACAACATTTTCAAACACAATGTTTGAGTGCTAACATTTCTACATAAGTTCTAAAGGTAAATACAAAAAAGGCTCCAAATAAGATTATTTCTAGTCCAAGCTCCTAGAAGCATTCCATCACCTATGCCCCGGATGCATGCTAGTCTCTGAAAATATTAGTGAGGAATGAGCAACTAGAACTCAGTAGGATAATCCTTTTTTCCAAGCATTTACAAAAATTTTAAATACCAACATTCCACAAACCATACAAATAAATAATGAAAGCTTTCTATAATTAAGTATAGGTACAAGATAATACGTAAAACATTTATAAAAATCTCCCAACACCTCAACACTAGAAATATACAAGGTATAAATTAAAGGTTTATATATTTAAAGTCAAACCATCATAGAAAATATCATGCATGCCTTGCATACGGACAATATAATCAATCACACTAGTTCATGCATGAATCATCCATGGGAAACTTTTTTGGTCTTGCACCCTAGGGTCTCATCACACTTCTTTATTTTTAAGGGAAACGTGTAGGGCACAACTTATGATGCCACATAGGCCATCACAAAAAACCATTACCATAACCAATCCCCCTTAGGATTAGTAGCTGCCTTAGCAACCCACTTCATAGACCACAACCATCTACTAACCCTCTACTTGTCAGTATCGAGCGTACATTTTTCAAAAATCATTATTTTCTATATCCATAAATCCTTTTGAAACACATGTCATAACCTTGACATTTTATCAAACATGTAGTAGGCTCAAATCTCAAAATTTGCATTTTCAAAGCAACATAATCATTTTCAAGAGAATAAGTCATATATATTATGTACATAATCATAGCATACTTCAAAACTCCCAAATCATAAGTTTAATCAAATACGCATAACTAAAATTAAACTAGGGTTTCAAACCCATAACACTAAAATTATTTTTATGCATGTAGGTTCACAATCCATGGCATACTCAACACTAAATCAAGATTTATAACAAGTATTTTGCCATCAAACACATAGTAAGCTTTAGCTAAAGAAAATACATGAGATGCACAATGCAAATCCACGAGAAGCGAAAACTCCACCTAAGAATCAATAATTTCAAGCTTAATCTCCAAGATTCTCAAGTCATGCCCAAGCCCTACAACTCTTCTTCTCTCTTTCTCTTTCTAATTCTAAGGTGGGTGAAGGAGTTTTGGGTGAGAGATGTGAGAAAAATGAGAGAAATAGGCTGAATTTGGGGGTTTTAAGCCCAGCCATTCCTATCAGAAAACACTGTTCATGCCAAAAAATACATTTTGTCTAAAATTATAATTTTGTCCCTAAGCATCTCCAATTTGATTTCTATGACTATCTTAAGGTTTTTCGATGTTCCAGACTCATTTTTAATTTTATTTTAACCTAAAAATATTTATTTTTATGATTTATCTTAAAATCAAAGTCAATTTACACCTGAAATACCAAAATTACTATTTTACCCCTCCAAATCCCTATATGAGGTAAATGTCTATCCCAATGTTTATTGACCTCCAAGATTCAATGGTAATGTTATTTTGATATTAAAAAAAATTAATAATTTTACTTAGTTATCCTTATCAACCTCAAACACCTCCAAAATTAAATTTGATTCGAAAGTCAATACATTCGTAACTCAAACTTACACGATTATACCTTTAACACTGATTGAAAGTTGCTCTTATCATTTTAATCATTTTAAAAATACTAATAAGTTAATATAATTTATATTTATATGAAACATGGGATCTCACACAAGGGCCTGTGTAGCTACATGAGTACCATCGATTGAACCAATACAATTCTACATTCACAAAGTGTGTTTTAACTAGTATAATAAAATTTATTGAACAAGTTTTGTAGATGGTACCTTAAACCATGGATAGTATCGTTCATCATATAATATCTCAGGTGGCGTTTCATATGGAAGTTGTGGCCAAATTATTGGCACCCCTAGGCTAGCTAATGCATGCATAACATTTTTGAAGTGCAGATTGATAGTCTCAGTTGAGTGTTGGAATATTTTAGTAACAAGTCTATGTCTAACACTATGTGAAAGTATGAATAAGAAAATAGCCACGGACTCTTCAATTGTCAAACAGTTGTGATAAACCTCTTGAATATGACCGCCATCGCGCAGTGTTTTACACAATGCAAGGAATGTATCTGCATCCATCCATAAACAATTATATATATGTGACAGATTTTCATTCAACAATTCCATAGCCCATTCATGGCCAGCTAAAGCAGATGTCATGCATGGTGTTTTGAACAAACTGTTGTTAGCAAAGGGCCAAAGTCTATTGACAAAAACATATAGTCCAATTCATCATGTAAGTTGCTTGATGAGCTTAGTGAGTCATCACTTGAGTGGCCAGCTGTATTTTCCATTGTAACTATAAACATAATACAAACTCACTATTACAATGCATAAATACCACAACAATATTAACAAAAAATACCATTAAAAAGTTTGTTGTAATAATAAAGGGTGAAGTCACTTTGAATAATAAATGGTGAAGTCACTTGGAATAATTGATAAGGCTACTACATAAATCAGTTGGAATAAAATCAAAACACATATTTACATAATAAGTTAAGTCAACTGTAGACATCCATGCCCAAATAGTTTCATACATACCTAAGCAAACGAAAAGACACTTAATCTATTATGTCAGACCACTCCTTCCTGCGCAATGTAGACATCTTAAGAAACATCTAACGCCACTTAGGGTCCTTGAACTTTGCACAAGCACGAAAATATTATTGAGATCCAACATCCTCCATACCCTCTAACACATTCATGTAAGTGTCATTGTTGTAAGCGTCATTTACAGTGTCATTGTGACCACTAAGCTTGTATTTCTCCATCCTAGCCATTGAGAATGCAGCCCATGCATCAATAGCATTGTCCATCTTAGAACTCTTACTTTCCTTCTTTTGTCGTAAACTGCTTGCATTCTTTTTATGTGGTGGGTGAAATGGGCCTTCAAGATCATTGTCAAGACTAGCAGATGATCTTTTTTGACCATTTATGAACTCCTCTGCCAACTCTCTCCTCATCACAATTGGTGGGACTTGGGTAGAAGCACAGGCTAAAATGCCTATGGCTGTCAATTTTCTAAAGATAAGTCTTTATAAGTTGAATTGGTCACACCCTTTCTTGTGAAAATCTTTTCGCCTAACAAAAAAAAATATTAACGTTAAGGCTAGTAATAATTAACTAGCCTAAGAAAGTATATACTACTATGTCAAACTATGCATACCGCAATATATCGCACCTAGACATCTTCCTAAGTCATCACAGGGTTGGTTTCTGGGTCCCAATCAAAACCAATAATGGAAAGGAGTTTTTTGAAAGTCCGATATTTATGCCTCAATCTATTGTACTTTCCCTTAAGATTTGGAACAGTATAAGTACAACCCATTTTTTCAGTCATCACAATCACCAATTTATTCCAAGTCTTTCCTTTGATGTTCGTACAATTCAGGTTCTCCTTCTCTACCTCAATCACCAGGAGTTTAATAAATAACTCCCCAGCCCTTGATGACCAAGTGGCCATTTTATCAAAGTCAATACCTTGGGATGACATCTAATAAGATCTACTTCATACATTAATTAATCATGTATAAAATGAATTGCGTGGATGTAGCATAAATCATGCATAAATAATAGATAACTCATATATTAAATAAAAGAAAATTATACAACCAGAGCATTCCAAAACAATATAAGTACCATTGTTGCTTTTACATTCCACATTGCTCTCATTTTAAATGAGAACAAGATACCTAATCAGATGATATGTCTAACAAATCGATTAGGTCGTTTTAACCGATTGAGGATCAATTAAGGGTTGAAACTTCCTGTTGAATGACCAATTGCTCGATGTGCATAGCTTCATGTTGAACACCCGAAGCCCTTCATTGCACTATTGCAGGCCAGATCTGCTGTATGGTAAAAAAGAAGAAACAACAACCCATAAATGAAAAAAAAATAGAAGAAATGCACATAAACTACAACCACTTCTTCAAGCACCAACAAAAATCAAGGAAATGCAAAACACAACCTACCAAAATATATAATGCAAGAAAATAAAATATGCAAGCTTAAGTTCTCATCTAGATTTTTGTAGGAAAAATTTAAACAAAAAAAAAGATTATAGGTGTTAATTGGAGATGGTGACTCTATGGTGATTTTCTCTATGCGAAACATAGCTTTGACTCTGTTAAATGGATAGTGTGAATTTGTTCTTTTATCTCATATCTTTCTGTGAGTAGCAAATTTTGTGTTGACAAAGCTTTCTGGCAAACAAACGATAAAAAAAATCTACAGCTTAAGTGTGGTCCAGATGTTCGCATTTGACCAAATTTCCTTATTCCTCTTTTTCCTTTTTTTACTATTTGCAAGAGTTCATAAACAGTCACAAAGAACCAATCGCAAGCACCTATCAGGTCCCAAAAAAATAGAAAATAAAATCAAGGCAAAAAAAAAAGTTTCAGATCTAGGAGATTTATGGCTTACTTGAGTCATCAGAGCTATGACTACGGTTCTTCAGAGCTGTTAGACAACAGATCTGCTATAGATCTGAAGGTAAAAAGAAAAATAAAAAAAATAAAAAAAACAAACCCATAAAAAATAAAGGAGCTGCGACTTCAGTTTACCAGAGCTATTAGACAACAAATCTATTATAGATCTGAAGGTAAAAAGGAAAAATGAAAACAAATTTAAAAAAGGCAAACCCATAAAAAATCAATACAAAAAATGCGAAACCCAGAGTTGCGCCTATGATTCGCCAGAGCTACGTTGGTGATTCATCGGAGGATCTTGTAGGTTCAATAGCGCGAAGGTGTTGGCCAGAGAGAGATCTAAGAGAAAGTGCTGGGTCCAAATGTCGGGGACAGGGAAAAAAATGGCCCCTTTTATACTGGTGCAATAAGTGCACATTAATTTTTCTCCCATGTTTTTGCAATTCTCAAATGAGTCTCACAAAATTCTACAAAACAACTAATTCTTGTTCTCATTTCCCACTTTTTTTGAAAATTTGTTTTTGGAACTACTAACCAAACAATATCTCACAAAATTTTGTGTTTTGAGAACAAAAAATAGGTTTGAGACACAAACCAAACACCACCTACATCTTTCAAATTATTGACTCGTGTCCAAAAAAAATTCATTGAATAACTGGGCAACTAAGCAACTTTCAACAAAATATTTAACTAAACATAGAATTATTAAAAGTGCATGCATTAGGCAAAAAAATAACTAATTTATTGAAAAAGGGAGAAAAAATAAATTGAAAAATGCCAATTGAATGGAGAAAAATGTTGAGGTGGATGAGAACTAGCTAGTGGAGAAAATCAACTCGACCAATACAACTTAGTAAAAACGGTTAGCGAAAGTGACAGAATGAAGATAATGGCGACATAACTGTCTAGAAAAAGATGATGAAGACACTGCAATCATTGTTGGTGTTAAAGCTCGGGATCTTGATGTTTATACAGGTTGATATGATATCATCAAATTCATTAACGTTGGAGTCCTCAATCGATGAATACTATATAAACAACACACCGAAGGAAATATTTCAAGAGAGATTTGTAACAACAATCCAAATTCATATTTTTTTAACCAACAAAAACAAAAGCACATATATAATACCCAAATTCACATTTCATATGATCAATCGAAAAAATGAACACAAACCTAAGGCAAAAACAACCCATGAATCAAGACATTAAGTGCAAGGATGTGGTGGTTATAATCGTACGCCATGGCCATTGAGTACTATCTATAGCCAAATTCAAACACAATATCAGCCAAAACCTTGATTATTATTAGGAGGTGAGTCCAACTATAAACAAACAAATAGATACTCACCTGGCCAAAAACAATCTATGATTTAGGGATTGAATTCTTTTGTTGTGGGTTTATCATTTGATGTCAATACAAAACCCCACTATGAAACTATCCAAAATAATCGATTTTTCGCTCTAGCTAGTGGTTTATTAAACATCAATAATGCAAGACATTTTAAACCTAAAGTTGGTGATTTCATACTATGTTTAGCACCCAAAAAACTACATTTTTCCTCCTAATTTTTAATTTGGCAGTGACTCATAGCAGAGAATTGCACAGCAAATCTTTCTGATCCCAGTTGATGGCATATTTTCATAACCCCAACCTAATTATCCGAATACAAAAAAAAGTATCATACAACCTAAGAAACAACAAAGAATTGCACACCAAATCTTTTCGATCATAGATGACAACATATCTTCATTATCCCAACCCTAATTTTTCGAACACAAAAAAACATATTTAATTATTGCTTCACGTTTCGTATTTAATTGTTATACCAAAATTCAAATGAAGCCAACTATCAATAATTTACAATTCTAACAATTTTCTCAAGTTTGCATAACTGATAAAATCCAAAGTTTTCAAATATCCAATTGTTTAGTCATAGTGAACCAAACCCATTTAGTTGTTAGACAAAATTTTTTTAAAACATTGAGTACCTCATACTCTAAAACACAATTTGTTGTACCATCGATGCATACAATTCCAACTATTACTTCAATGCCAAATCCTCCTCCAACCTAAAAAACTAAAACAAACATAAACGAAAGGAAAAATCAGTAAATCTCGATGTCAGTCAATAGAGATAGTATTACCCTTAGGAGGTAATATTCAGTCATCACTTAAAAGTGCACCCCAAATGACCCTTAAATAGCATGGCTTCTGTTTAGCCATTAAAAAAAAGTTAAAAACCTAAAACAACAAATATAAGCAAAGCAAAAATAATAATAACATAATCACAACAAATAGCAACAAAAATTTGGATTGTGATCAAGTTTCAATTTGCGACATAGGTCACAACATGCAAGAAAGTGAACCATGTACACTAATTTTTTACACATACCTAAATGCTTTTACCCAAAAAATTTGATTGGTTTCACATGGTCTATGTGTTTGCCCGCAACTGCATAAAAATTAGAGATGGCCCTAATTACGCATGGCTTTGGCTCCAAGTTGATACACTAGGTCCTCACTTCAATTCATCAACCACCATATAGCACCTGTGACATATAAAGGAACAAATATTACCTTCTAAGTCACAAAATCTCAACTGGTTAACAAAGTAAGGAAGATCGAGAATCATAATCTCAACTTGTAAACATAAAACATATATTTTTTTTAGATTTACCAAAGAAAAAAAAACTTTGAATTTAGTGCAACAATACCAACAAAAAACAGAGACAAAAAATTATAGATAGAGAACACCAAAAATAGCATTCAAACCCATCAATGTAGCAGCAAAACCAACCATAAAACACAATTAAAATGCAACAAAGTGTAACATGGGGTTATAGGGTTTTGCCAAGAGGTCTAACCTATTTTTTGTGATTTATGCTGAGAAATAAATTTAGTTCGTCGCTACAAAAAAAGGAGAGAGGGAGAGAGAAAGTGAAAGATAAATGGCTAATTTAGAGTGTATCAAAGAGAGACAGAGATGTATAAAAGATAAGAGAAGTGTAGAGTCCTGTGATGAGAGGAAGAATTTGAATTGTTAGCTATAGGGATGAGGAGAAAGCGAGAGAGACAAAGTTATATGAGAGATAACGTGTTTTGAGTCCTATGATGAGAGCGAGGATTTGAATTGCTAGCTATGGGGATGAGGAGAGAGACATAGACATGTGAGAGATAAAAGGAGTGTAGAGTCCTATGATGAAAGGCTTGTTCATTTGGGGGAAAAAAAATTCAGGGATGAATTGGGATCATTAAATCAATAATATCAAAGCAATCTCAGTCACGAAAAGCTAAATAAAAACAAAGGATTCGAATTATTAGACGGAATAAATGTATGAGAAATGGGAGTATGACAAAGAGAGAAAGAGAAAGTTATATGAGGGATGAGAGAGTGTGTTTAAATTTTAAAACATCTAAGAGAAAGAGTGAGTGAGTTCAAGATATATATATAGAGAGAGAGTTATTATTGTATGAGAGAGAGTTATATGAGAAATTGGAGTCTTATAGTTGTAAAAGGAATAAAAGTCCAATTAGGATCATCGGATCAATAATCCTCAAACAATTTGAGCCGCGAAAATTTTAAGAAAATAATGATAGAGAAAGAGAGTTATATGAGAGATAAGAGTTTTAGAGCTATAAAATGAATGAAAGTACAATTAGGATCTGATTCGCACTTTTTAGTGATCGAATTAATATTATACACCCAAGTATAAGTGGTCGAATTGTAGTTTTTTCGATTTTTAAGTCCAAGTATCAATCCCATAAAGAGTTTTAATAATTTGGAAACGAAATAAAATAGTAAAGTTGCTAATTTGAATAGGACAGCATGTGATAGCTTGTGATGTGAGCTTAAATTGATAACTAGTTTATGTAAACGTTTATGTGCATATAGATTAAGACAATGTTACCTTCAATTCAAGGATCTCATATGCGTTATATTGGTTAAATACTGAAAATGTTACCTTACAGTAATTAATTTTCATGTTACTGGCAAGTCAATTGGTAGGTCTGATGTATATAAACCATCAC